TTTCTAAAATCTTTGTTGTGTGAGAACAATGGCATCCTCCAGCATTTCTGCAGGGATTCAGAAGAAAGAAACTTCTGAGCAATATCAGGTGCCTACCAGAACTCTTCTCACACCGGTAAAGAATCTTGAGGTTCTCTCTGAGTTAATCATCGATTTCGAAAGTTTGAAGGAAAATGGATTTGACCTAACTGAGGAAATTAAAGCTCAAAAGTGGGAGAGGTATTTCGATAGGTTGGTTGGACCAACTTTCCCAGAGCTTGTCAAGGAATTTTGGATTCACGCCAAGATTCATAAACATCTAGTCATCTCTTCTGTCATGGGAAAGAAGATAATAATTTCTGAAGACCTCATTGCTAGGTTAATTGGTCAAAGTGGTGGTGGAGTCCGTTGTGTGGACATGGCTGACAGATGCCCTGATATAGGTGTGGTAGCAAACTGCATTTTCACTCTTGGTTTTCCCAGCAGCAAAATCAAGGATCTGAAGGATCACTGCAGAGTATGGGCCAAGATTGTTCTGGGTTGTTTCAATCACAGGAAGCCAACAAGCTCTCCTGATTATATAAACGTGGATCAGCAATTTCTGATCTACTTTATTGATCAGAGGGTGAAGATCAATCTGGCACACTTCCTGTTCAACCATCTGAAGACTAGTGTGAAAGAGACTAGAGAAGAAGAAAGGACCAAAAGGGACTGGATACCGTTTGGGAGGCTCATATCAGATATTCTAACGGAGAATAATCTGATAGATTATCTGAGCGAAGCTAAAGTGCTGGGCACTATGGAACCAACTGTTGGAAAACTGCTGAACGCTAAGAACCTGAAAAAGATGAAGCTGATAGAAAATATTAGGAAGGAACCCAGAGCTTCTTCAACGGCTGACATCTCCAGAAGAAGAGTGCCTCTGAGTAATTTCCCAAGATTTTCTGAAATGGAATCCCAACCTGATATGTTTCTCAAGTATCCAGATTCATTCAAGGAAGAAGATGCAGGTTCAAAGCTGAAGATCAAAGATCTGAGTCAAGTGCAACCTGAAGTGACTCAGAAGAAGACAAAGAAGAGGAAAGCAGAAGGATCATCTCATCAGACTCCAAAGAAACGAGGTACGTCATCTGCTGCTCCTATTTCAATTTCATCTACTATTCCAACATCTGCTGCCCCTCCTCAAACCTCTCACAGAATTTCAATCCCAATCCCTACTATTGATGAAACCATACCAGAAGACCCTTCTGAGGCCTTACAACTCAGAAGAACCAGAATTAAAATTACCACACAACCAACTGTTTCAACTACACCAGCACTTGATAGAGTGCTAGCTGATATTGAGCGTGAACATGCTCCTGCTCAACCAATTTCTGAACCACCAAATATTCCTCCTCCACAACCTGAACCAGAAATTCAACCTGAACCAGAAATACAACAACAACCAGAACCACAACCAGAACCAGAACCTCAACAACAACAACCACATACAGAAGAACCTCTGATCCCTGAGCAATCAGAGATTCCACCTCCTCAACCAGAAAATAATCCACCCTCACCACAAACAGAGTTTCACCGTTATGAAACCCCTTCTCCACATCATTCCGATCCCCACTCACCTCAACCTTCACCGCTGGCAATCCAGTTGCCATGTGGAACCACCATTGTCAGGCCCCAGTTGCCATCATCAGAGGAATCAACACCTCCAAAAACTCCAACCACTCCAATAGAAATATCCTCTGACTCTGATAACCCTCCTACAAAACAAACAACCTCTGAAAACCAATCCGCTGAAAACCCCAGCAGAACTTTCATTGACTTAACAAGTCTTGAACGTCTTGCTGATCTAAGACACAAAATTGCCATACCCATACCAAAGCAACCAGATGTTGGCTCTGGTATTTTGAATTTTGAAACAGGTATGCTGCAATGGATTGCTTTGTTGAAGCAAGTCTGTCCGGGGATGATCGACCCAGCTGCTTCTGATCAGCTCTGGTCACAGTTCAGAGTATGGGTACGTGCTGAAGCCCTCAAGCTGCAGGACGTCAACTATGAGCAGGCTCAATAGAACTTTAGCAAGCTGCTGAAGGAAGTTGAGAGTCAGCTGCCTCAAGAAGTTGTGCTCCCTCTGGACAGTGAATCCTGGTCTGAGAAAGAGCAAGCTGCACAGATGCAACCATCAGAGGACAAGACCATTCAGGCTGAAGAAAATCCAGCAGAAGATGTAGCTGAAAGTTCTGAGAAGCTTCCTCCTGCTGAAAGTTCTCAAGCTGCCTTGGACAGGCAGGCTCTGGAAGAACTCAGGCTGAATGACTTGCGTCTCCAGCAGTGGATGGAAGAGAATGATCAGAAGATGGAAGCAAGAATGAATGTACAGGACAGCAAGATTGACACTGTTGTCACCATGGTTCAGAAGCAGAATGAAACTTCTGAAAAGATTCAAGCAATGCTGGAAAGCCTGTTCTCACGCATGCCCCCACAACCTTAAAATTTTTTTCATGCATGACATTCTCTATGTTTTCTTCATTTTCTGATGTATTGTTTTGACTATGTTTTGTAACGCTATTTTGCTCTGATCATGAACTATTTTTATATAATTTGTTTTTTTCTGATCTTAAGTGTTTTTGCACATCACCAGCACTTTTTGATTGCTGACAAAAAGGGGGAGAACAAGAATGATATTTAAAATCAATAACGGCTAACTAGACAGAAATTCTCAAACATTCTAACTCTATTACTTGAAATGTTTTTCTGTTTTGTTTTTAAGTCTACAGGCATAAGGAAGCTCATGAAGACTAGAAACTAGATGCTCTGATCAAAATGTAGAAGCTCATGTTGCTCTGATCAAATATGAAGTTCTGATATATGAAGCTCTGATCATCCTAACACTCTGATCCGAAGCAAAGCTCTGACAGGAAAAGCTCTGAAGCTCTGCTCTCTGATATGTCAAAGACCTAAAATCTGATGCTCAAAGATAGAAAAAGATCTGATCCTGAAGAACACGCATATCAAAGGGAAGTAACAAACTCAGGGGGAGTATCTCTTAAAACTCTGATTTCTCTTTACTTCTTAACTCTGAAACATTTCCTAGATACCTTTTCACGTTATTATTTATTTAAAATATCTAGTTTTTGTCATCATCAAAAAGGGGGAGATTGTTAGAACAATGTTTGAATCTAGTACCCTATATTTAAGTTTTGATGATAACAAAGTGAAAAGATATAGTATTTAAATGTTTCATGATTGAATTATATGCTGCCTAAAAATACTATGCTCTGACTTGCAGATATGCTGATTAAAATAAGCAAGATCACTTATTCAGCATCAGAACTTGATTTGATACACCAGCATCAGAAGTTGCTAAATCAGAACGTGAAGACCAGATGATCAACTCACGCACATGCTGAAGCTTGATGAACAGAACTGCGCGTAAACACTCTGATACAGAATCAATAGTTCATCAGCAGCGAAGCAGAATCAGAATGAGCCAAGCCAGAACGTGCATTGAAGAAGCAACGGTACTGTGCATTGAACGCTAATTAAATCCAACGGCTTCATTCTAGACAAGATCTGCTCAAAAAGGAAAGCTTGTTATTAGCATTGAATCAAGAATATTTGCATCAACGTTCATCTTCTCAAATGCTATATAAACCAAGCTTCGAAGATTATCACGGCTAATGCTTCCAAACTCTCTACACGCACAAAGCTGAACAATAATCTTCATCTACCAGTTTTGCTAAACCAACAAACTCTGATACTCCATTAGCGTTTAGCAATCTAGTATTCTAAGCTTCATTTGTGTAAACATCACAGTTGTGATATAGTTTTGTAGAAAACATTCACACACATTACTTTATACCTTTGTAAGAAAGTGTTGCCTTGACAAACCGGATTGTGGTTTGAATCAAGAAGGCTTTAGCAGTTGTTAAAGCAGATTTGTATTCAGTTGAATATAGTGAATTAAGACCTCGTTGGAGAGAGGCGAAATCACCTTGACGGGTGGACTGGAGTAGTTTGAGATCAAACGAACCAGGATAAAAATATCTTGTCATTTGCTTTAAGATTCCAGTTTTACAATTCAACCCCCCCTTCTTGTGTTTTTCACCCCTTCATTCAGGACTTACAATAGCCTTTAACTGTATGTATGTATGTATGTATGTATAACTTGTGCTATCCTTTTATGTTTATTTTTTGGAGTAAATGAACTCTGATGAACACTCTTACTTGTTGTATCTTCTTTGGTGTTCAGTATGTAAATAATACATGAAATCATTATTATGAAATATGAAACTAATTACCTTTTTCTTCTTCTCTATTTGTGATTGCATCTTCTTCTTTGACTTTTGCCCGATTTTGAACACTTTCTTGTCGAGTTCCTTTTTTTGATTGATTTTGATTAGAGCTACGGTTAACGCTGCTGCCCGGTTTTTTACCATTGATTGACTTGGTTGCATCCATTTCCTTTGACTTGTGAAGATCTACATAATCATCAATCAACATTGATGGGCATTTTGGCACCCTGTTTAGCTTTTGAGAGCATTCAGCTTTTGACATCATTGTGTCCAAAGAAAGAGTTTTCGGCACAACAACATGAAAACTTAGCAAATAAGTTACATACCTTGCTCTAGTCATGGCCACATTGGTTCTTTGCCGATTTGAAAGAAAACCGACTTTTCCACTCCCATTTGATCTAACAGTAGACATTATTATAATATCTTCCTCTCCACCTTGAAAACCGTCAATAGAACGAACACTCACAGAGAAATCAGTATCAGAAACAGAAGTGTACTCCTTAATTTTGTCCTGGATTGCATAGACTTGAGCATTATATGGAGAGATAACTCCAATGCTAACTTTCTCTTGTGTCCTCTTAAACTCTAAAATTAAGAACATACACATATTAATTATACACATATTAATAGAAAACATAACCACAAATGGTAAAGAGAATAATAACCTTTTTTGAGGTTTTTAATCATCTCAGAAATGACAGCAACCTCAACCATGTTCATCAAGCTGTGTCAGCGGCCAGATTTCTCCTTTCCCTTAGCAATGTTAATAAAAGAATAAGACGAATATAATTCTCCTTCAAGGAAACTCTTATTGTAGCTTTCTTCCATAACAAAAGGGGCATCTGATATCTTTTGATCATAGAACTCTTTGCATGGAAATAAGCTTATGTTTGGATGCATTCGATACTGAACATTAAGCATATGTTTCTTGTACCCTAATATTACCAGTCTCTCAAACATACTTCTTCCAAATCCACAACTATCAGCAATCTAAAAAAAATTCAAACATCATAAACATACTTAATTAAAGGCAAAAAAATTCAAGATACAATAAAACTAAATTCAATAATCAGGTACCTTGCTTTTCACCAGTGCTGGAAGTTGCTTCTCATCACCTATAAGAATGCAATGTTGAAGACCAGGTAGCTGTAAGGGGATTGTGGATTCACACTCTTTCAACTGGGCCGCTTCGTCAATTACTAGAAACTTTACCTGAGTCATTCCTTCAGTGTAGAGTTTAATAGAACTAGAAACAGTGCATAAAACCAGACATGCATTGGACAAGCAAAACTTTTCTATTTGATTTCTCCCATTGAGTTCAGGAAGAAAAATAGAACTGGAAAGCAAACTGAGTATTTTCAAGAAATCATCAATTTCAGAGTTTGATGGTAGAAAGCAAGAAGGAATTATGTCTTCCTGTGATACCAACACAGCTTGAAACAACTTCTTCCTGTGAATCATTCAAATTTTGAGAATGAATTATGTCTTCTTTAGTGTAAGAATATTGACTACAAAATTTGCAGTTTTCTCCACCCTGAAACACAAAAGCAAGTATAAAAAAATGTTACATTCATATATAATCAAACTGCATAAAAAAAACTCCATTGTTCTAAACTAGATATGAACTCAAATTTGAACACGACTGAGTTTGCCTTATTTGAACTGAGAAATTAACAAAGAAAACAAATGAAAAAATGATTCTTACATCATGACAAGGCCGCAACACTTTTTTAATAAGGCCAAGGTGGTCACCGTCTGATTGTGAGTTCAAGGCTTTCCAAATACGAACATTTGCTGTCATGTTCATAAGATAAACTGCATACATTTTTAGGTAAAATAAATAATATGGGGGTATTATTGTCTTTGTCGCTTCACCGGTAGGTTCTGTAAGCCGGAGTATACATACAACTCTCAGCAAACTTCTCCAAATCTTTCGGCTGAGGAAGACGAGTCGCCAAACCTATAACAAAAACACAAACTCAGTTATTATGATAAGTGATTATCCAATAAGCGCTTAATTAAGATGTTTATTCTTAAAAGCTCACCAAGCTCATAAGCCTTAGCAGCAACTTTGGCAGCAATGTGAGCTGAAATCTTTCTGATGTTTGTGAATGGTGGAAATATCAGACCCTTCTCAAAGTTTTCTTCTGTTACTTGTTCAGCCAATGCCTCAGCTGTTACATGAATTCTATTACTACATTTGTTTATAAAATGTATGTATTTTGATTCTATGTTTTTGCGAACTTACATGCAGCCAGAAGAAGATCGTCGTGCACGCGAATGGTACCAGACATTATTAAACCTAGGCCAAACCCAGGGAATATGTATGCATTATTCGACTGAAAAGCAAAACAAATCCAATTTATTCAAATAGATATAGTTATTCAATGAATCTACAAAGTCGAAATTCACTTATAATAAGGAATGGAGGAAGTATAATGTTAGTGAAAATAATATCGGAGCTTGACCTGGCCAGGCACGAACACTTTGCCCTTATATTCGACTGGCGGAAATGGGCTCCCACTTGCAAAAATCGCGCTCCCCTGATTCATTGACAAGGGAAGAAAAGAAAACAGAATGGTCACCGTTGATCCAAGAATAAGATTAAATTTCAATGCAAAATATAAGTCGGTTCTTATTACCCTGCTCCACAAGTAAGCTTCTTCTGCTGTACATTCTGATTGTGATGTTGGGTTGGAAAGAGCCAGAATAATCGGTTTCTACAAGTATCATCAAACAAAATAACATTACTCAACTTATTCAGACATGAAGTTGCGTTGGAGCTACTAGATGATTTGATCGACAAGGAACAGTACCTCGTTAAGAGAAGCCATTGCCTCAACCACCTCTTTGGTAAAAGTTTTTCCTTAGCCCGATGTTCCGATAAGCACTGTAGGCTTAATATTCTGAAAAGAAAACATTGAAAATGTAAGAAAATCGAGACTTCTGTTATGTAATGTCTATACACGCATATGTCTAAGTGTAAGAAAACATTATATTATCTGCATAAGCCATGCTATTTATCCAATGTTTCGGCCAAATTCTATGAGTTTTAGTCATCTGCATAAGCCATGCTATCTCAAATAAAATATATGGCTACATAACAATTCATTAACTTCAAATTGGTTACCTAAAAAATATACAAAACTATAGAAATTGATTAGTAAAAATTAAATAATAAATGACTTTTCTATCTTAAGAGCTGCACGCATTTGAAATGATTGAACCTAAAAGCTCTAATCCATGAAGTCATAATATAACAAAAGTATGCTATTAAACAAAACTAACTTGGAGAAATTTATTAACAGCAGGGAACAAACCTGAGGTGTATTACAGACGGAACCGTTAACTGTAACCTTGCCTTCAAAAATAAGCTCTTCACAGCTTCTCCTGGACGCAACTGAAAACAAAACAGCTTACTTATAATCAATTTTGATTCTGTTGTTAATTCTCTTTTACTGCATAAAATCATCAAATTGTCATTATAGTCCAAATACTACTAAATTGTCACCTCCAGAAGCAGCGAGAACCTTGCTGAGACGCGTACCGGAGTCCTTGAATTTTTCATTGTAGAATCTCCTTGCCGCTTTGGAATACTGCGGCGGCGCCACCTCACAGACCTTAGTTTCCTTTTCATTTTTCTTCTTGGCTTTCACAGTTTGGTTCTTCTCTGATTTTTTGGTACCTGTTGAGGCATTGGTCATGGCTTTGAGAAAGGTTGGAGGAGATTCAGACGAGAGTTTGAAGTTTCCATCTTCGCCTCGAACATTCCACGGGATGGTGTCACCGTCGTCGGGGAAATGGTTCGAGTTATCGAGTTTAGGGTCGGGTTTAGGTTTAGGGTTGGAGGGAGAGAAGGAGATGTTGGATTTGAGAGGAGAAGAGGGGAGGGAAGAGCAGGTGAGGCGAGGGAGAGTGCGGAAGGAAGAAGTGAGTTTGGTTGATTTGGTGAAATAGAGTGCCGTCATCGCCATTGTTGCCGCCGAACCCATTGTTCTGGCGCGGCGGCGGTGGTGGTGGTGGTTTTTCAAAATTGCATAGAAATGGAAAAGAAATAGTAGTGCTCTAGTTTCTATCTTATCCTTGGGTTTGCATTCAGAGTTTTGTTTAATTTTTTATATATATATATAATTTTTTATTTTCTGTTTAATTGAAATTTTTTATTTTTAAATTTCTGTGTTAGAAAATTTTTTTTTTATATATATTAATAATGTTTAGAGAAAAATATTTGTTTTTTAGTGTATAAGTTTTGGAGGGAAGATTGCCACAAAAAATTTGATAATTCTAAAAAAATTTATACAACATTTCAGAAATGTAGTCTTTTATTAGAACTAATGTAACAATCTAAAAATGTCCCCAAAAATATTTTAAGGGACAATTGTCAAACATTGCTAAAGAAATAATATTTTAACGCTCTAAAATCGTCCCCAAAAGCAGTTAAGGGCACAATTAACAACCGTTGGCAAAAAAATAAAAGAGTATCGCTCCATAAACGTCCCCAAAAGTATTTTAGGCGACGATTATCAAGGGTTGCAAACATATTTTTGACAACAATCGTAAATCGTTGCCTATATGAATTTAAGGCAACAATTTCTACATGTTACCTAAAAAAGTGTTGCCAGAGACAACAAATGTTGTAGTGGTAGAAAGGAAATGGATCTTGGGGTGTTTGGTATTGAGGATGTTGGATGCTTTGGTGATGTTGTGGTTGATGGTAAGTTGGGTCGGTTGGTTCATAATCTTCGGACAATCCTAAATCAGGGCTAAGGTTGGATGTTGAGGGGCCCATATTGGGATATGCAGAAGACTGAAATTATGTGTGGGTGTGATCGGTGGAAATAAAACGGACTGTTTTTTAAGCTGGTTCACGAAATGTCGTGGTAAGCAAGAGTCGCCACCGTCTTTTATGTTCTCTAACATGGAAAGGACAAAAGCACAGCAAAATTCCTTATTTGAGAATGTTTCTCGGTTCGGGAGGTAGATTTATAGAAAGGGAAGGTGTTAGCACCCTTTCTATCCGTGGTTATCCACGGGCTCTTAGGTACTTGCTCTTATGTTTTCAAAAGATTTGTTTGCTTTTCAAGTGTGTGTGGGTTTTGGAAAAAGTTCGTTTGAAAAACCTCTAAGTAACTCTTGTATCAGTCCTCAAGAGTGTATGAAGTGTTTTGTTTGAAAACTTTTTGAAAGTGTGGGGTGCGAAAAGTTGTTTTTGTTTGTTTTGAAAAGAGCAAGTACTTAAGAGAATTCTACCTACCCTGAGGAATTAAGCTGTGTAAGAGTCCTTTAGATAGTGTTATCCCACCATTGAGAGGTAGGTAGCACCGTCGTTGGAGGTGTTCGGGTCAATTCGATTATCAGGACAGGTGTGGTCACCGAAGCAATGGTAGGACGCCTTAGAAATAAACCTTAATGTCCTAGATCCTTTGTATCCGAGGCAACCGTTTCGAGGCAACTGGATCTTTTAGACAGAAGGGCGACCTCTAAGACACCCTATACTTGATGACCACGTTTCGAGGCAACCAGCGAGGCGTACTCTAGAAGTGGCATGTGCTTTGTGTGTTGTTTTTCAGTTAAGGTTATCTTGTATGTTATTTGTGAGCTACGGATTGGTTTTATTTTTCATACATTCTTTCATGCATTTTTTAATAGTTAGGAGTGCGGAAAATAAATTGCAGAAATGTAAATCTAGCTATTACAAGGCGCGGGTCTATACATCGCCAAAAAACAAAGACCCGTTTTGGTAAATAAGTGCGAGAAATTAAATAAAGCGGTAAAATTCCTAATTAACTATTACATATCTGGAGACAGTTACATAAATAATCAAAATAAAATAAATGCGTGCGAATAAAAATTTAATCGGGAACGTCCTAAGGGTTTTGACCCTTTCGAGAAAGAAATTGAATTTTGTCTTTTTTTAATGAAATGGAATTAAAACTAATTATTTAATTTATTAAAAGAAAAATGTTTTTGTATTTTTTATGTTTTTAATGAAATAAAATAAAAGGAATTAAAATCAAAAGTTAATAAAAATCTAATTCTAAATTTATTTTAGTTATTAAGAAAAAAGGTTAAAGTTGCCTAATTAAAACTAATTCAATTTATTAGTATTTATTTACAAAAATAACATGAAATTAATAATAATAATAATATTAGTTCTTTTTTTGGATTTTTTATGAAAATATTAATTATGTTAATAATACTAATAATTAATAAAAAAAAGGAGTTATAAAAGAAAAGAAAAAATAAAAAGATAAAAAGAAATAACAAAACCAAGGGGGGGGGGGGGGGGGGGGGGGGTTGGGCCAGATTGGAGGTGTTAATGGAATTGTGAGGCCCATGAACCTTCAAGCCCCTTTTTACTTTCCTGATTGCCTACGCCTGTGTTGACTCATGAGCACCATGGTCTGCATTCTTTGGCCATCAGATCTGTAGGACTGGACACACGGCACGCTGATTGCTTGAGACATATGGTGGACTTTCGCTGGAATGCTGCATGGGAATATGTTAGAGAAAAAATGAAACAAGCGTTTGGGGGACCTGGGAAAACTTACAGCGCGGTATGATGGACCTTAGGACGTGGCAAGGGTTGCTTTAGCTTCAGAGTATGGCAAAGAAGAGAGTCACGTTCTCCTTTTGGCCTGAAAATGCTTGCAACACTCCTTTTGATCTCACACTTTTTTTTGACACTTTTTGGATTTTGCTCTGGCCGTTTGTGCACACTCTAGGTTGTGAATGAGGCTTGCAAGGCTTGTATATATAGTAATGAGTGAGAATAAGTCACATTTAGGAGCCTTTAACCATTGCAATTAAGCTTTGGATTTTGTCTTAACCACCATTAAAGGCCTTTCAAAGCTTGTTCAAAATTTAAATTTTCATGCCTAAATGAGCTTAACACGAAATTGGTAGGTTGCAAATGCTTCATGAAGGCTATTCAAACCATAATATACCATTTAATTAATTTTTTTAGATTTACTTGAATTATTATGGATTAAAATGAATTAAATCCATAAAAATTAAATAAAAATAGAAAAATAATTATTTGGTCTTGAAATTGATCATGGGACACGTGGGTGGCATGACAAGGCTGAATCAAGTGGAAAAAAGTGGGCCCTTTTGTCAAAAATTGAAGTTTCAAGGATAGTTGACTTTTGCCATTTCACAAAAATTTCCCAACTTCTCCAATGCATATCTTGCTTAATTTTGATCATATGTACATGTTCTTGGACATTTTGGAAAGGTCTTGAAGTCCTCTAACCAATGACTTTGGTCCCATGTCATTTGAATTTACCAATCTCAAGTTATGGTATTTGACTTAAAGTGCCTTTTTGTTGACTTTTGAAAATGACCTATAATGTTGAAATTGATAACTTTTTGTGAGAGCATTTCTTGGACTTGGAATGTGAAGATGCGTTGTAGGAAATGTCATCCCTTTCAAAATGAGAATTGGATGGGATTTTTCTGATGAACCATGAAAAAGTTATGCCCTGGTCAAGTTACAGTTGACTTTTCAACTGTCCAAAAATGGAAACTTTTGCATCTTGATGATTTTTGAGCCATGCTTGTGGAATCATGATCAAGACTTGATCAAATTATGATTGTGGCTTCAAAATGAGATGTTGACCAAAAATTTTGACTTTTGACTGCCAAATGACCATTTTGCCTCTACAGTTGATTGTGAAGCAATTAGGGTTTTTGACTGTGCAACTTGACCTTGTGAGCCTTGAAACTTGGCATATGGATGCTTGGCAATGTGTATAGGCATATGAGACTTGTTTAAGCCATTGAAAACCTCAACTTCTTTGCAAGAACCAAAACCCTAGTTTTTGACTGGCTTAAGAGATGTTAGGACTGTGCAACCCTTGAGTAGACTTGAGCAAATTGAGATGATGCTTGTCAAAACTTTGAAGAATATGGGAGGGAAAATTTTGGGGTACAACAGTGGGGTATGCGGGTGTATTGGTATTGTGATTGAAATTGTTGTTGGGTGTGAGGCATATGGGGACATTGGTACTGAGGTGGTGATTGTGGTTGGTTGTGAGGCATGTGGGTGTAATTGTATTATGGTGGTGACTGTGGTTAGGTGTTTGTGGTTCTGTTTCATCGGGGGGGTTGGTGGGAGGTTGATGTGTGTTGGGTTTGTTGTTGGGGAAATGAGGATTGTGCCCATTGTGTTCGTGGGTCAACCAAATACCTTGGATGAGACACGTGCATTTCAGGTGTACTAACTAATTTGTACCAAGATAAATACTGATTCATGTGTCGCATATTACCATAGTTGAGGAAAACTGGAAATTGCAAGACACGTCGGTGACGCCTCTGCCACATCTTACACCATTCTGGAGCAAAATCTTTCCAGTTGGTAAGACCCCATTGAGCGTCGACCCTTTTGAGATGCCACGGGGACAAACAAGTCAGATCGCCGGGTATCTCATGATGTATTCCAAACTGCATCTTGACACGGTCGCTGTGGTGCATCTCCACAACATTGAACCGTATGATTATAGTCTTTGCTCTCCAAATTGCTGCATCCTCGAGGTTTGGTTCATGGTCCAAACCCAAATATGATCTCCAGACAAACTGCGGATAAAATTAAATCAGGTTAATGAAAACGTAATAAATAAATAATTTAAAAGTAGAAAAGTTGAAAGGTATGACGTACATCATCCGGGCCAAGGTGATCCAAAGATTACGGTATAGAGCGACATTGAATCTTGGATTCTTGCTGTAATCCATACCCCTCACGCAGTACCTAAAGGAATTGAAAAATATTTTATTTTTATCATATATTTGGTGAAGAGATGAATAGTAATAAATGATATAAGTTGATGACTTACTTTGTTGTGTATGGGAAAATGAATGTGTTGTTGTTGACAGTGTTTAGGGACTCCATCCTCCACCAACCCCAGGCTTGAAGTAAAAAAGTGCAGCCATAAAATGTACATTTTTCCTTGATTGCATTTTTACACAAGGAACTGTATAGATGGGCTAAAAC